TCTCCGGCGAGGTTCGTGTTTTGGTGATTCGGCTCTGGTCAACCTGTAGAGAAAATAATGGTGATCACGGTGATATAAAAATTGCATCAAATGGAGGCCGGGAAGGGTCTCATCGGAGGCAAAAACTGAGAAGGGGCGTGGCGGCGCCGCTGGGCTTCGGCTGTGTATTCCAGCCGTTTGGCCAGGATTTTGGCTCCGATTTGGCCACAGGAGGAATCAGCGTGGAAAAACGAGTCGGGGGTACGAAATCTACCTCGATCGGCGGTCGAAAATTCCTCCGGTGCGGCGGCGGGTGGCGGCGGCCGGCTTCTGGTTCGTCTTCTCCAGCGAGCGGCAGGCGGCTAGGGTTTGTGGTCTGGTGTGGGGGTTCTATTTATAACCCTTTGCCTTTTGATCTCAGCCATCCATTTTGTTTTAATCTGGGCCGTCCGTTTTTGATTAAATCTGGACCGTCCGTGCGTTTAAATCTGGGCCGTCCGATCGTACGCTTGATCTGGACCGTCCGATCGCGCCTACGCGGATCGCCAACGTGGCCCTTTTTGGAACGACGTGGTCTTACCACGTGGCAGGTCCCGGTTGGCCGGGACTGCTGACCGGGCCTGCTGACGTGGCTGCCGACGTGGCTTTTTTTTTTTTTTTTTTTTTTTCGGCCCCTTTCCGGGCGCTACATGCTCACCCTTCCATACACATATACAAACATCTCAATATATATTTACCTACCTTAACATGTATTCCTTCTATCGCTACCTTATATATTACATGTGTATATACATATATGCATATATCAACTAGACGAGACAACTAACATCCGGCACGCAATTGGTTTATAGTTAATTTGTTGGACATGGAAACTTTAATTTGTAAGAGTTCAAAATTTTCTGTGCAAAACATACTTACTAATACACTCCAAGAGTATTCTAATACCATAAAAACTTAGTTATGATATATACATGTATATGATATATATATATGGATATATATTGTGATTAATATTTGTTCTTGTGTTGTGAAATATATAAGTCAATTTAGTCAGAAAAAAAAATCATATAAACAATATAATGATGAAACTAGTAAAAGTAGAGAAAAGACATGAGAGGGTAAAAAACAATATATTTTAGAAATTTAGGATAAAAATAACTATTATTATTATTTAGATTTGATAGAGTAATAACAAGGACTCAAAGTATAAAACAAGAGATAATTTTAATTTAATCAAATACATTTCTCTCATTTATCATAAATACAAACATTAGCAAATTCAAAAAGAACATTTTAATGTCACAAAATATCCTATTAATTTACAAGGTAATGGTATGTTAATCTATTGTATCTTTTTGAGTTCAACAACTTTCTAACTAATACCATTGACTTTTAAAAGTATAAATTTAAATTATTGTTAATATGTAATGTGAACTTTGATATAGAAAAAAAAAGATTTCTATGGTTTTTGTATTTTCTTTTTTTAAAAAATTAAAAAGTAAAATGATAGTAATTGTAAGAGATCAAGACATACAATTAAGTTGGATTGTTAGGTGATGGCCATATTAGTTGAGGGTTAAGAGATAATATTTGTGAGTGTGGTTGCCAAGTATAATTGACTTCAAGTGTGAATGTATGTTGGGGATAATACAAAAGACAGTAGGTAGATAAATGCATTACAGTGAAGCAATAGCTTTTAATTAAAATGGATGGTCACAATTGAATAATTTTATATAAGTACAGCCTTGCAACAATTTACTAATTAATTTTTTATAATTACATTACCTTAAATCAAAAGATTTTCCCATATCCCCTATTAAAAACATAACATTTATGGAGATAGATTGGGTATTCCACTTGCAGTTTTAGAATGCACCACATCTTACCTTTCATTGTATATTCTACTATATTAAAATGATCCACCCCCCATTCCTTATTAATAGCTATTCAACCGTTGTATCATTTTATATATACCCCCTCCCGCCCCTTGGGCACACATGATAAAATACCATGACAAGAAAGAAGGTTAAGCTTACTTATATCACTAACAACTCTGCAAAAAAAGCCACATTCAAGAAAAGAAAGAAGGAGCTAATGAAGAAAGTGTGCGAACTTAGCACTCTTTGCGATGTCAAAGCTTGTGCAATTATTTACAGCCTTTATGACTCGCAACCAAATCTTTGGTTTTCCTCTCTCGGAGCCCAACACATGCTTGTTGACTTTAAGAGGATGCCCGAGATGGAGCAGAGCAAGAAGATGGTGAATCAAAAGAGCTTCCTGCACCAGAAGATCATTAAGGTAACGGACCAACTAAAGAAGCAGTGCAATGATAATCGCGAGAAGGAGATAACAGATATCATGATATACTCGAGGGATTTGGTAGAATATGCAAAACATTTGGCAATAGTGCTAGGGATACTTCGGAGAGCCAAGTTGTATGCAAAGTTCAGTAGATGTGACTTCTGGTTGGATCAAATAGCATTCTTGGCCAATATTGTGTCGAAAGATGGGGTATCTGTTGACCCAGCAAAGGTAGAGACAGTGGTAAAGTAAAAGGATGGAATCACTCAGCAAGTCACCTCAGCCTCAAGAGGCGACAGATGGAGGAGTGATGAAGCGTCCTGGTGAGACTTTCACTCAAATCTAGTAGGATTCTATGGTGCAAAAGTTGTAACAGCTGTATATGCGGTTCATTGATGGGATGAATCCTCAAACATAGCAACAGCCTTATGTAGGGTCCAACGGGGAACATGCAGAGGTGATGGTGCCATTCACAAATTAGAACAACCAGAATAATGGATTGATATAGTCTAGTGTGTTTAATTACCTTTAGGAATTGAATATTATGATATTTAATTTTGAATATTTTGGGTTTTGTTGGAGATGTGCTTTAAATAACCAATTAAATTCCACCATAGAGATATGTTGTCAGTTTCTTAGTCGTCATAGTCATCGTCCAAATTGTTGTAGCTGTCATCGTCACAGTCATAGTCGTTGGGTCACATACATGCATGTACTTAGATTGCTTTATGTTATGATTTTCTTTAGATTAATCTTCACCTCAATATTTTATATTTCATGTGCTAGTGCTACTCTTCATTCTTTAATTTCTCCCTTTCCCCGGCTTGACGTGTCTGTATTACTATTTGTTAAAATATAAGCATGCTCAATATAAATTTATGCTATCAGAATGCTCTTTTCTCTTCTTTCTTTTCTTTTTTTATACACAATTGAGAGAGGACAAAAGCATTATTGATGCACTATATGTAGAAATTCAGTTTAGTTAGGAGAAAGATTAAACTAGCTAGATACTCAAATTTGTTTAGATTTCAAATGAGATGTCTGTATAGAATTTAATAAATATGGATGTGTTCTCCAAATCATAGAATTAAAATTTGGGATAATGGCATTAAGGAATAATATTTTCCTCAAAGAAAATTCCAATATAAACCAAATATCTAAAATAATTAATATTTTGATTAATCTGAAATTTAAATATAATTCTAATAATTTTATTTTAGTCAAAACATGTAATATTTTAAATAAGTAAAATATATTGGAGAATCTCTAACGATCATAAATAAATTTCACGATGCAATTATTTTGTTCAGAATATAGAAAAAACCTGAAATAAATAATTTTCAAACTCAACAATCTGTGAATTGTTAACTAATACTTTATGCAAGAAGAAATGTACAATATATACATATAAATATTTAAATATATACAATCACATAGAATAATAAATATAGAAAAAAAATTTTGACGGCTAATTTCAAACACTTTAAGCAATTAATATTTTGAATTTCTTTTACATATATAAATACTCAAAAATCAATGATATATATAGTTTCTTACTACTAAAAAAAATGTTACTGATATAAAATAAGACCATATTTAACTCCAGTGACACAAACTACAACATTAAATTTTTTTCAATATTATAGTATGTTACTCTAGTAACTGTAATACGATGTTGCACTTGATTCTTAAAGATAATAACTAGTATTTAACCTTTCTTAGTGGGATCACTTATTCAAAACCAATTTATACATTTGCGATAACAGTTTCAAAATTTCATAAGACACTAAATACTTTTTTAAAAATGAAGATAATTGTAATAATACAATAAATTATAATTAATTTTAACATATGATAGCATTATATATTTATTTTTGTGTTACATAAGAGTCGAATCTTCAATTCTTATTTTTGTAGAGTTAGAGAAATACCACTTCATTTAAAAGTCAAGTATTATCATGTCTAAATTATATTTAACTTTTAGAAGGATTGATTTCTATTAAGGTGGTTGGAAATGAAGTAAAGATCCTAGAATTGGAACTATTGGGCCTTTGGCTCGATCATTAAGGGATGGCATTAGTTCCCATTAATGAAGAACAAGTCTACTCACAATTTTATATAAAAAGTTAAAAAGTTAGCCAAATTATCACCTACATACCTTTTTATATAATCTGTTAACTTCTAATATCAACCATTTTCTAATAAAAATGTATTGAATATATTTATTTGTTTGTTTTTGTTAATATGTCAATTTAGTGATATATAAAAGAACTTAAGTTCAATTACTTTGTTTAAAATTAAATTTGCAGTCTGTTTTATGTATGGATTATAGAACTAATTATATTGATATTTAATTGTAACATTTCATTTTCTCACATAATTGTTTACATTAATATTTAATTTTAATTGTATTAAAATTTTTAATTAAATAGTTAGCATAATTTTTAATTAAAAAAAAATTCAATTACACAATTCAACACAAGTACAACATATAATAAAGTGCCATCTTTACTAAATAAAGGGAAGTAAACATGGTTAATTATATTCGATGAATCACTATTTTATCATTGTAAGTGTGTATATATATATATATATATATATAATCTCTCTAAATAAGACACACACAATAAAGTTATAATATTTAAGAATACAAAAAGAAATAAAAAGATAAAAAAATCATAGCACATTACATAAAAAATCATAACACAATACATCCTTTATAGATAAGCCAAATTCATAGTTAATAAGTGAAATATAAATCAATATGGATGTTCTCTTGTTTTAATGTGTTAAAAACTCATAGCTAATGCCACCTGCATACCATTTTATATGAATGCTTGAACTTTTGCAAATTTAATAGAAGATTAAAAATGTATGAGTTTTTATATGATTTGTTAACTCTTTATATAAAAGATAAGATTAATGAGGAACATGTATATCTAACAAATCATTAAGTAACATTTTGGCATTCCACTTAATGTTTTAGAATGCACCATATCTTACCTTAGATGGCATATTCTACTATATTATAATGCTCCATTCCCCATTCCTTACTAATAACTCTCCAATCCTTGTCTCATTCTATATATAGCCCCTCTTGCTCCTTGGCCAGACACACAAAACGTCATGACTAGAACAAGGTTAAGCTTAACAATATCACTAATGACTTTGCAATGTCAAAACATGTGCAATCATTTACAACCCATATGACTAGTAACTAGAGGTTTGGCATTCCCCTCTCGGAGCCCAATACCTGTTGGCCGACTTCAAGAGGATCTTTGAGATGGAGCAGAATAAGAAGATGATGAATTAAAAGAGCTTCCTATGATAGATGATCACCAAGACAATAGACCAACTGAAGAAGAAACACAAAGACAATCAAGAGAAGTAAATAATGCATATCATGTTTCAAAGCCTTGTTGGGAAGCCCCTCCACCAACTCAACCTCATTGATCTCAATAGGGTTGGCTAATTAAACAAAACCTCAAAGAAATCCAAAAAATATAGAAACACTGAATAAATCACCTAAGCCTAAAGGGGCCGTAAATGGAGGATGATGAAGGGTTTGTGGGAGACATCGTCTCTGATCAACGAGGATTTTCTATCGCATAAGCTTCAGCAATCATAGTGATGGTTCATTGATTGTATTAACCCGTAAGCACAACAACAACTCATTTAGTGTTTGGTAACGGGGACCAAGTGCAGATGATGGTGCTGTTTGATAAGCACAATTAGAATAATACGCTAATATGCTCTAGAGGTTTAATTATTCTTAGGAATGGAATGATAAGATGTTTGATTTTGAATTGTTTGGATTGCTGTTGAGAGGTACTTAAATAACCAATTACAATCCACCAAAGATATATATCTTCAAATTCTTAATAGTTGTAGTCGTTGTTGTCATAGTACTAGTCATCGTAGTCATCGCGTAATAGTCAACATAGTCGTCATATCGCATGCATGCATGTAAAGGTATTAGTTTGCGTTAGAATTTTCTTCAAATTAATTTTCTCTTCAATATTTTATATCTCATGTACTAGAACTACTCTTATATTTTTTATTTTCTCTCTTGCCCCAGGTTGATGTCGCTTCATTGCTATTTGTTAAAATACATGCATGTCCAATGTAGTTTTAAACTATTGGAATGCTTTTCTCTCTTTTTTTCCTTTCTTTTATTTTTTATATGTAGTGGAGTGATGATAGAAGCATTATTGATGTAGTATATATAGAAATTCAGTCTATTTAGGATGACAATTAAGTTTGCTAGCCACTCAAATTTTTTTTTGATTTCAAATGAGATTTTTGAATGGGATTTAATATATATGAATACACGTTCGGATCTTAAAATTAAAATTTTAGGATACTGAGATTAAGAAATAATATTTTCATTAAAGAAAATCCTGATATATTATGACCATCTTAAACAATTAATATTTTTATTGATATGAACTTATACTTATATCAGGAAAAATATGTTAAACTAAATTATAAATATGTTATTCAATTACTTGAATAGACTTATTTTTTAACTAACTAATAGATAGATAGATTGTTTCATCTTTTTTTCTATATTTTAAAAAGTTAAAAAATTACTCTCACATATATATTACCAATTTAGAGCGTTGATGAGAAGTCTATGTATACTAGCTCCTTTGAGTATTTAGATAGTATCTTTTATATTTTGCTAAATATGCGATATTAAGAATAAGGATTGTTTTACATATACACACACACACACACACATACACACGTATATGTAATCTTTAATTAGTTTTAGTCATTTATATGTATAATAGCATGCAATCTATAACTTATCATAATTATCTTAAAGGTTAGAAGCAATAATGGATAATGAATTGTTTCCTTCTAGTGGTTTTCTGAACATGGTTGTGCCTTCTCTTCCTTTTTAATTTATATTATGATTGTCCGATATATTGTTTAATGGCACTTCTCCTTGTGTTTGTAATGATTAATTATCATTGATAAATTTTATTTTATTTGAAAAAAATAATATAAAAGGTCAATATGGAGTATTGAACCATGCTAGTATCATTTTTTTACTAGAAGAGAGACAACACATTTATATTATTACTGCATTAAATTGGCAAGAACTATACCTTTGATTTCTTTAAAATTTGTTAGATATCACAAAAGTTAATATGTATTCATCTCTATTACTTTTGTTGTTCTATTTTAAATTTGAAACATACTAATCGTTCCTTAACAATATATTGGGATTTCTTATCTTTATA